AGAGGTTTGAAGAAGAGTCCAGGGACATAAGATATAGTCCCCCAGTGATCCACCTTCTTCAACCATGCCTCACCTTCATACAGTTTTACCTATTTCCTGTAATGCCTTCAAATTATTAATCCATAAAATGGATTAATCCACTGAAAAGATTACATCCCTAAAGATCCTTTCGCTTCCCCCAAAACCCCAACCCTGAATATTGTTGCATTATGGACCAAGACTTCAATATATGAGGATTTAGGAGACATTCCAGGTCTAAACCATTGAAGATGGAGAGCTAATACAGTTTCCAAACTCTGATTTTCCTCATGGGAAATTTTTACCCTTAAACTTTTTACCTTATAGATTATAACTCAAAAATTTTAATATAGGTACTTCTCATTTCTTCCTTTTCTATCTCTTTGAATCATCACTTTGAATCTGAAGTTATAAGAAAGTTGGGGTGATAAGTTATCACTGGCATAAATTTTCCGCACCAACATTTCATGACTCTCTTCTTTTGTCAAAGGAAAGGAATCGCAAAATATTAGAGCTAGATGTGACCTTTATCGGATTCTAGTCTAATCTGCACTTTTTCGTCTTTTGTACCAAGGAATAAAATGAGGCCTAAAGAGGTCATTCGACTTGTCTGAATATAACGAGGCAGAGAAGAAGATATATCAGTGGCAAAAGTAATAGTGGAAATCTTGGGAAATGTCTATTATTTCATAAGCAGACCACAAGATAAAAGTCATCAGTTAGAAGTTATATCAGGTGTTCTTATGCATTTACTACAAGGTAGTTGACTAGCTTTAATTTATTTTTCTAGTTATGTTTCACGTGGCCCTCAAACTCCCTTGAGGGAAGTCACAGTAATCTTGAGTAATTAAAGAGGATTTGAGCATGTTCAGAACTTTATATTGTACCTTTAATACTGTGAAGGTCATATGGTGAAATGAAGTTATGTTTAAGAATTTGTATGTTATCCTGATTTGCTTTTATTACTTCTTACTGGAGTTATGATTTAGTTGAAATATAATTATATATCTAAATATAGTTGCTACTATCCATTGTTTCTCTTTTTGGTTCTTCCACCATCATGAATTCAAATGGCAGGGCCCAGTCTCCTGAAGTGTAGTTATTGTATTAAATTTCTTCATTGTTGTGCTGTAATTCTGATTTTTTTTTAAAGAAGGGTAGCTCTTTTTTTGTGAGTTATATAGTTAATGACACTGGTGTATACATTATCTGTTATGAATTGCTACTATTTATGCTACTTATGGCTAAAAGTCTGTCATCTAACTGATGACTTTTATCTGCTTCTTGGAGAAAAGGTACATTCTAAGCACATAGTTATAGGCTGATTAATCTCTTTTTATATCAGGTGTATCTTAACGTTAGTGAAATTGTGATGTGTATCATATAAATAGGTTCAAATTTTATCAGAAACACTTTTGAATAATACAGCTTTTAAACATTTAACCTTCGCATCTAAAATAAAAGCAGATATATGCACAAATATGAAAGAAAAGAAAAGCATTCCAAGAACTTTATAATACATATCTCTCAGAAAAAAACTATAAGATTAAAAGTGTACATATTAAGAATTTATAAAAAGATTTTTATGAAGATTTTGATCTATAATTTTGCATTACTTTTAATGGAGAGTCTATGCATTTGTTTCTCAGGCCCTGGGATACTCTACAAATATGCCCTTGTAAACCTACACTGCATCTTCATCTTCATCAGTATTATCTTTTATGTAATGGGGTGATCTTCAGGGAGCATTAATTGCTAGCTATCTCTTAGCTACTTAAGGACAATCTTGGAACAATTATCATGTATTTATGGGAATGAGGCATTCATTCATTTATTTATTGCCTTTCTCTTAGCAAATCCATAGCCCTCGAGGCAAGATGATAACAGTATAAACATGCCCACTTATCTTTGCGGGAATTATTTCTTTCTCTGTTCTCACCACCCACCCTGGCAGCACCACACCACTCATAATGGGGCTCACTCTTACAAGTTAAAATTATAATGGTGATTATTGTTCAAGAGCATACTAAATCTATCCTTTCTCAGTTTATTATATAAATGGGATTTTATTTCCTTTTTTTCTTAAAGAAATGTGACAAGGATTTTGATTCATGGATCACATAAATTTGACTAAGTACAGGTCTCATTTTTGGATAAGATTGTTAAAGATGTAATCACTGTACTCCTTGTTTGGATGTTTATGTGAAATAAACTATTTCAAACTGGGAGACAGATGTCACAGATTATCATATTAAATCTATTCAGGTGATTTAGGTTTTATAATCCTACATTTCATAGGTCTATACATCTTTTTCCTTATCATAGGCCCTAATTTACATATATATGAGAATATGTAAGTAAAAACATGGGAATACATGAAAAAGACATATAATTTGACTTATCAAAAATACAGATCTGATACGTTTTTATCTTCAATTTTTTGTTGAACACTTATTTCAAGATATTTCATGTGTAATCACATATAAAAAGACTTTGACATTAAATTGTTATGTTAAATACACTCCAAAGATTCATAACTCAACTTCAAAATTATATTTTTCTTGCACAATTATTCTCTGATTGCCATATAAAACAGAAGGAATAACATGACATGGTCAAGCTAAATTAATGATGAGGAAGTCAGAAAATATAAATGAAATAATTAACATGAATTTATTTGTCTCTTGGTTTCTCTCATTTAGATTTGATTCTTCACTGGGTATTATGCATAGCAGGCTATTTCCTAATTTTCCTTTTAGGATTAATTTAAGGCATAATTTTTCCTATTTTGAAAATCACTGTTATTTAATTCAGATTTTATCTATTTAATTATTACTATTATTATTATTGCAGTTCTAGGGATTGAACCCAGGACCTCATGCATGCTAGGCAAGTGCTCTACCACTGAGCTACATCCAAGCCCTTTTTCAATGTCTATATTAGAGGTCTTGCCAATTGTCTATGATTGCTTCTATTACCTGTGGTTCTCCTGCATCAGCCTCCCAAGTCATTGGGATTACAGGCATTTACTTCTGAGCATTGCTTTTCTTTAGGTAAAGTAATTAAAGTTTAAAACTTTGACTCACTGAGACATAGTAAAAGAGAAAAGAAAACCCTTGCATTTAAACAGACTTCTGTTTGATACCAATATTGCTGCTTTGGGTTAGCAGTCCTTATGTGGGTTGATTAACTTGTTTGAGTCTTAATTTCTCATTTTTAAAATATGGATATTGATACAAGAGCTGCTGTGAAGGTAAAATGGTAAAATGTTTGTGTAAAATGCCTGATATACATAGTACCAATAACGGTTCCTGTTAAATGAGGCTTACCATGAGTCACACACAATGCTAAGTGCATTATACATTTACAGTTAATTCTTATAGCATTCCTTTGCTATAAGTACTGCTTTACTGTGAAGAAGAAAAGATATGAAGTGCTTTATTCAATATGGTAATGGGTTATTTCCACCCCATTTTATAGAAGTGCAAGTAAAGGTTAGAATTGTAAAATAATTTACCTGAAACAGCACTAATTTTAAATTACAAGAGCTGAATTCTAACTAGAGTCTATGTGTTTGGTTATCCACAACTGTGTAACAAGCCATCCAAAAATGTAGTGTCTTAAAAAAACATTTTATTTTTTGTTATGATATTATGGATTGACTGGACTGAGCTGGGTAACTTCTTTTGCTCCAAAAGGAGGCCATAGCTGCAGCCATCTGGTGTCAGTGGTGATAGGGATTAGGGGTGTGGTTGAAATATCTGAGATGCTTCACTCACAAGGCTGTCACTCAGTGCTTCTGCAGGGAGCTCCCAATGTGGCTGTAGACTGGAGTATCTCACTACTCCTCTGCTTTTCAGTGCTGCTTATTAGGAAGGAGTGTTGCAATAATATGTAAAGTGCCTCCACTTGTTTCACACTTCCTAATGTCTCATTGGCCAAATTAGACATATGGAAAAGCTCAGAGTGTGGGAAAGAGTTACACAGAGCATAATATTAAAAGACCTCATTAAGCCCACTAACAGTCCACTACAACTCCTGCTGTCAAAAACTCTTTTTTGCCTTCCAAACTTCATGGCTGTATGTAATCTGCTGCCCTTGGGCAGCATGTTCCTCACATCTTATGAGAAATTTTAGTAAGAGGGCCAGTTACACGATTTTAATAAGCTTTTATGCTTTTCTCCTTCCAAATATGAAATAAAATTTCAACTTTATTTAAATTGTTTAAAAAGAAATTTCTATTCTGTAAAAGAATATACCCCTTTCAAAGATTCAAATTATTTTCAAGAAATTTTTAATGCCAGTCTGTGTTGGATTTTATATGTGTAATTCATTAGTGAATAAAATAAGAAGAAATATTATTGCATTTTTTGAACTATCATTCAGATAAAAGTGAATATATATCAATATGTTTCTTTGAGTATCTGACTAATTTTGGATATTTTAGAAATTGCCTTTTGAAGGAATGGCCTTGGTCCCATTATTTCTGTAAAAGCAGTATTTTTTACTTCAGAGTCTATAATCCTTTTCTTCACTTTATATCAATTTTAACAATTTATTTCTATTGCTATTTATGTAGATGGACTCCATAGTAAACTTTTTGTTTAAATGTTTTGTTCTAGATAAAACATTCTCTATTGATGAATAAAATTTATTTCTAAACAGTAGYATTTTACCTTAATGATCCAAAATATTGAAACTTTCTTCCATTAATTTTGAGTGAAAAAACATACATATAATGCTTTACTTTACATTCATTACTTCAGGTTAAATTAGCAATGGCTCACAGGTAATACCATTTTGAAGCTATTTGGTGACCAGTGCAAACTCTGATAATGTCACGGCTTAGTATCAAGACTCTGAGGGGTAATATCAGATGATATCTGAACTGTTATTCTCTTAATGACTGTGCTATTGTTATCAAATTTAAAAAATCTCAGACTGACATAGAAAAGAAATAATGAAGAAAATCAGAAACTTACTTTTTGTGACAACACCTTCTAGGCGAATGATATTTGGGTGGTCAAACTGACCCATGATGCTGGCTTCTCTCAGAAAATCTCTCCTTTGCCGATCCATATGGCCACCTTTCAAAGTTTTAATAGCAACTGGGATCTCTCTTTTCCCTGGTGTCTTCAAACGCCCACTACAGACTTCTCCAAATTCACCTTAAAATATGAACGAAAGGAGTTATTTGTCTAAACAGAATGTTTATATTTCAGAAAAAGCAAATTGTCATACAATGCTATACATTTTTTAAAAGGCAGAGATGTTCAAGTGTACTATTTTCACATAAAATTTACATTCTTAAAAATTAAGTTTGTATAGATAATATGCTTGATTGACAGCATATACATTTACATTGCATTTATACCATTACATAAAATGGAATACATTTTCATATGCTGTGTACCACAGGAAATCCCTGATCTTTTGAGAAATGATGACTAGCAGAATGGGTGAAGGTAATGTAATTCTTATAGAAAAGCAATCACAATATAACATTTCCTGTTCTGGTTCTCAGTTCTGATATATGAGCCACATGCCTGCCCTATTCAGGGAATCCATCAGGCATGTGTGGTTGATTTCATTCCCCATGCCACAGGCTTGGACTTCACTGACCATTAGAAATCAATGCTAGGGTCAACTAATGTATGAACATATTGGAAAAAACACACTGAACTCAACTACAATTAGTAATTATATAGGTTCAATTACAAGCCACATGCATGGAAATACAAATACAGCAAGATGAGTTATGTTTCAATACTCACTCCACCGGGTAGATTAAATAATAACCAAATATTTTATTTATCAAGCATTTACTACATATATATCCAATACTAGGTTCCTGTAAATGAGTTTCAAAGAAATATGAAACTTGGTTTCTGCTTTCTCCTGAGCTCACAGTCTAGTAGCAGAATTTGAATGTACATAAATGATGCACTTAGAACTCTCAAACCAATCTGTGTAAAGGTTGTATTCATTAAGAACAGCAGGGGCTGGCCGACTTCCTGGAGAAGGTGGGAGGAACATTCAAGATGGGTGCACAGAGGGAATACAAAAAAAGAAAAAGAATTAAAAGTCGGAAACAGTAAAGAGAATGATGTGGACTCTGGGCATTAAGGAGACTTGAGTTGTTATTTTGGGAAAGAAGTGCAATGCAATCTCAGTGTAATGCAATCCATTCAATAAAGCCTAAAATTCTAGGCTGTTAATTATTCTTGGGATAATCACCTGCATTTACTTAGAAGCATGATGCTTGATCCCTAATTTATTTACTTATAAAATGAGGACATTATAGAATTACAGAGAGTTTTATTGGAAAGACAATAAATAAATGAGAATATATGTGACAGTGCTTATAAACTGTAAAGTGCTAATCACAAAATAATTTGTTTAAATATTTGCAAGGGTGAAAGGAATAAAAATTTAAATATCTTCAGTTGATCTATTAGTTACCAGTTCTAGTCTTTGTTGGATATAATATAAGTTTGATTGTAGAAGATTGGATTAAAATTTTGCACTCATAACTTTCAATTATCCATATTTTCTTTGGACCAATTTATCACAGTCAACTAACTACTGACTATACATGAAAATTAACTATATTTTGATATAGACACTAAATTATTTTTTTAAAAAACTATAAAGTAAATAGGACCAAATATTTCTTCTTTAAAGTTTTGCACACGTATCCATTAGCAATGGAAAATAGTCTAACAATATAGTTTGTTCTCATACATGTTTTAGAAAAAAATACGTCCAAAACACTAAACTATTTTCTCTATAAAATTTACTACCTATGATGTTGGGGTATTATAAATATTGCATAAATTTTGCATCAGAGTCTAGAATAGTAATTTTTAACTTAGTGATGGTCTCAACCTGTTGGAGGATGGATGTTTGTATTTCCCAGAAAATGAAGCTGTAATTTTTCAGTTCTGTTAGCAGTATGTTTTTGATTTTTTATTTGCTCTACTTAGTTATGTTTTTGATATTTAAAAGATGTTTTCTTATACAAAATCTGACAACTGTTAGAAAATTTCAAAGATTTTCTATTTCAAGTCTCTGGACCCTGAGAGGAAAAGGTGTTGTATATGTTAATATTTAAGCGTAGTAAGATACTTGAGATTCATCCTCAGATCATTGTTCTTTTCCAATGAATATGTGGAACAATACAATTTTTTTATTTTCTCTTTTTCTTTTACTTTGCCTTTAAAAATCTGTTCATATTTATAAAAAATCAGTAATATTTTACAACCTATCACCTGGTATGAGACCATAATCACTGTTATTTTCCTATTCACATTTCATAGGAATTCAAGTGAATTTTTGAATATAATGAAATAAATGAGAACTCTGTTGGTATTTTATCAAGACAGACATAGTGGAAATTTCCTTTGGTTTTCTGTTGTCTAAAATCCATGTATCTTATTAACACCAAGCAGGTGTTTTCTTCATGTCAAGCTTTGCATGATCAAGCTGTTATCACACTTATTTCATTGGCACTAAATATGGGTTGTCTCAATTAAAGATCTGAGACTCCCAGTGCATTCTTTAGGAAAAGTCCAAATGGCTCAGCCACAGAATGTATTAAAATTCTTATACACATTATGCTGGGATATATAAGATATATGAGAAAGACAAGAAAAAATACTTAAAGTTAAATGTATAATTTTGGATATTGTCCCAAATGGATTAATTATATGACTGCCCTTGTAGCAAGAATAGAAGCCCTGTATATAACTTAACCCTAAGTAAGAGAAATTATTACTCAATAATATCTGAAAACATCTACAAGTACTGGTTAATTCATAATTAACTTCCTGACCATAAGGATATGGTGTTAATTATTATTATTAATATTTTCTTTCCCAATTTACAGTTGCAATCATTATTAGATTATTCAGTGCTTATCATGTACCAAGTCAAAGAATTCAATACATAACTCTCCACGACAAACCTTTGATGATACTCGTATTATTCTATTTGTAGATGAGGAAACTGAAGCACATGAGCTAAGTAACTTGTCCATAATGAAATAGCTAGGAAGTGGTAGAGTTCTCTTTTGTACCAGTTAGTCTGGCTTTAGAGTCCATCCTTATATAGCCTCTGTTCTGTGCTGTAGGCTATTTATTGCTACTATTCTCTTGTATTAGCATGTTAATTTCCCATTGGTAAAAAGATGTCTTTGAACCATTTTATAATGTTCAAACACATCAAGTGGATATGGCCAGGGGGATGGGATGACAAAGAGGTATCCTATGAATCCTCTACTATTGAATGAAAATGGAGACCTATCTGAAATATGCTGTATGTTAGACAGTTTGGAAAAAATCACTACACTCAATCCAGTTTCAAGAGAGCAAAGAAAATTATATCTAAGATAATTGATCTTCTGCCACTGACAAGAGCATTCGCTAACTAACAACCCCATCTATCTCCCTGGATAGTGGTAAAAGCTTTCTGGACAAGTAATTTTGTTGCATAATATACAGGGTCATGTTAAAATATCAATTAGTATTGGATTTTCAAAAACACTCCCATACAACTGAACTAGAATTGTGAGGGGAGTGTGAGCTGGTGAATGACAACCCACTTAGAGGCCTGTCATATCCCAATCACTTGGAGGTTTTTCAAAAATTTACTCCCTGTCTTCTGAGATGCTGGCTCCCCCTCACCTCCAATCTCTTAAGAACCAAAGAAGCAAATAACCATGTTCCTGAGGCTTTTTTTACTTTTTAATTCATTTTTTTTTTATCAAATCTCTTAGGCAAGACTAAATATTTCTTTCCTCATACTTGCTGTTGGCCTGACAGGACAGCTCTCTAGTAGGATTCATCTCCTTTTCTTCTCTATTATACCTCTCTAACCCTTTTCTGTCTGGATAGTTCCTTGTTAGCAGTAAATGGCTGAGCTCTGACAGCTCTTATTCATAAAACTTTCCCTGACTACCCACTTTTCATTGAACCTAGCCTCTTACGAATTGGTCCTTCTAAATGGAAAAATAAAAAATAAAAAAAGAGAGAGAGACCCTCTAACATTCACAGGCCAGTCTGGCTCTGAGAGTGAGACTATTTTACTCTCTCAAATACAATAACAACTTCAGACAAGGCTACTTTGAGACAACAACAAAATGACAGCAGGACCTCTTCATAATTTTGTCTAAGCCCAGACAGAGGCAAGTGCACTGTTCCACTCAAAATACCAAATATTCAATGTATTTGGCTAAAATTAGTGTTACTTATAAGAGAAAAACCCCCACAATTATAGCTTTTTCTAATTCTAGCCCCCCCCAATAGTATGATTAATTAAAGTCTTTAAATATAGGACCAATATTATATGCTGCTTCAATAGCTGGAGGAACCTGGGAGGGAATCAAATATCCTGCTGCAAGTTCTCTTGCCCACTCTACTGCTACAGATAAGGTCCCCGAGCCAAACAACCCTTCATATCAAACACACCAGGTTCCTCCTCACCCATAAGTAGTAGGTTTCAGTTTCATGCCCACCTGTGGAATGATTCAACTGAGACAATCACATACTCCCTAGTGAATTGGAGTAACCCTCCCTCTTGACACTATGAAGCCTGCATGCCACAATCCTAGTTGTTCACTCCAACGTCCATGTGGCCCTGCATGGTGTGTAGTGTCTTCCTCCTCTGGACTGTGTGTATACATGATTAATAAATATTGTGCCATCTCATCTGTCCAATGTAAAGTACTGTGTGTGGTCATCTCCAGCAAGGAAATCCCTCCCTCATCCACAGGGTGAATGGAAGGCAATTATAACAGATATCTAAGGGGCAATTAAAGTAAGATGGTTCTTGAAATGACCTTGTAAATTGGTTCCAATTTTTCTTCAACCACCCATACAAGAATTCTCTCTGTGGACATAGATATCTTTGTGGCATTCAGCTAGGAGGTGTAAAACTCCACTAGAGCCTAAGACCTAGGAAAATTATTTGGAGAGGACGGGTCCAAACATAGGTGTCAGATTCACTGATTGTTAAGTCTAGCTTTGAACCCCAAAATGACCATTCCCCAAATAGTTGGGATACAGACCCATTTGTCTTGAGCTTGCAAACAAAACCAGTATCCAAAACCTCTAGGAGGAAACCAGAACAAAGCACCTTGCAGACAAGTCTGCCTGCATGCTGGTATTTG